GAGAGAGAGAGAGAGAGAGAGAGAGAGAAAGAAAAAAAAGAGAGAGAAAGAGAGAGAGAGAGAGAGAGAGAAAAAAAAAAAAAAACAGAGAGAAGGGGAGAGAGGAAGAAAGACAGAAAGAGAGAGAGAGAGAGAGAGAGTAAACAAGAAAAACACATCTAGATACAGAGGAGAAGGCGGTCGAGGAAGGGGGGCCCGTCTCGCGTGGGACATCCTCAGAATTCAGGGCTCCGATTGATTTGCGGTGATTTGCCCCGGCTCTCTTGGACCATCCCTACAATTCTGGGTTCCCAGATGCGGTTCTCGAAGTGTTCCGGCCCGTTTTGCGTGAGGCGTCCTCAGAATTCTAGGCCCGAGATGTCCTGAACTGCGGTGGTCTGGCGCGTTTCGCTTGGGACATCCCCATCGTTCTGGGTTCCAATATGCGGTTCTTGACGTGATCCAGCCCGTTTCGCGTGAGACACCCTCGGAATTCGGAGCCCCGATATAGTTTGATCGGCGATTTGCACAGCTTTGCTTCGGAAGGAAAGAATCGAAGACGCCTACCGTGAATCACCGCCGTTTCCTGCCTTCTAGAATCGCCCATGTGGCCGAGCGTTCTGGTAAGAGCTCTGCCAAGCTATCGGACCATGTATTCCCCCAACCGTTGTGGAAACCCTTTGGGGAACACGTGGGGGAGGATGGCGGGGAAGATCAGGAGGAGGAGGGGGAGGAGGAGGCGGAGGAGGAGGAGGAGGAGAAGGACGAGGAGGAGGAGGCGGAGGAGGAGGAGGAGGAGGAGGAGGAGGAGGTGGAGGCATCTTGGGAACCTCTGGGGGCACTCTTGGGGCCTCCTGGGAGTTTTCTGGGAGCCTCTTGGAGGCATCTTGGGGGCGGGAGCCGTGCGCCGAAATGGATGGGGCAGACGCATGCGAGCTTTGCCACTGGGGCCTTCGGTTGCGCTCCGTACGGGGCCACGAACACTGTGGGGTGCTTCGGCATGGGTTCGGTTGGCGCATGCGAACGAAGCCGCTGGAGCCTTTGGTGGGGCTCCGTATGGTGTCACGAAACATGTGAGTGTGTGCTGAGATGGGCGCGGTGGGCGCATGCGAACGCAGCCACGAGGGCCTTCGGTGGGGTTATGTATGAAGCCGCGAAATGGGTGCGGTGGGCGCATGCGCACGCAGGCGCTGCGGCCTCCGGTGGAGTTTCGCAGGATGCCGTGTAAATGTGTGCCGAATGGGCGCGGCGGGTGTGAACCCAGCCAGTGGGGCATTTGGTGGAATTCCTTACGGGGCCACGTTGGCAGGGCGTGCCAAAATGGGAGTGGTGGGCGCATGCGAACGAAACCACTGGAGCATTCGGTGGGACTCCATGTGGGGCCACGAAACGTGTGAGGGGTGTGCCGACATGGGCGCGGTGGGCGCATGCGGGCGCATCCATTGTGGCAGTCGGTGGAGCACCATGGGGCCACGAAGCGTGTGAGGAACCTTTTCAAACGGGCACGGTGGGCGAACGTGGACGCAGCCATCGGGGCCTTGATCCTACGGGGCCAGGAAACGTGTGAGTGGTACACCGAAATGTTGGGGCGGACGCGTGCGAACGCCGCCACTGGGGCCATCGGTTGCGCTCCCTATGGGTCCACGAAACGTGTGAGAGTCGTGCCGGCATGGGCGGAGCAGACGCATACGAACACCGCCACTGGGGCTTTCGGTGGCGCTCCCTGGGGGGCCGCGAACAGTGTGAGGGGTGTCCGGAAATGGGGTCGGTGGGCGCATGCGAACGAAGCCACTGGAGCGTTCGGCTGGGTTCCGTATGATGCCACGAAATGTGTGAGGCGCGGTGGGCGCTCGCGGACGCAACCAGTGGACCTTTCGGTGGGGTCCCCTACAGGGCCACGAAACGTGTGAGGGGTGTGCCGAAATTGGCGCGGTGGGCGCATGCGAACGCAGCCACTGGGGCCTTCGGTGGAGCTCCTGGTGGAGGGACAAAACGTGTTAGGACTGAGCCGAAATTGGAACGGTTTGGCACATGGGGCCTTCGGTGGGGTTCCGTATGGGAACGCAGCCACTGGGGCCTTCGGTGGGGCTCCGTATGGGACCACGAAACGCTTGAGGGGTGTTCCGAAATAGGCGCGGTGGGCGCAGGCGAACGCAGCCACTGGGGCCTTCGGTGGAGTTCCCCTATGGAGCCACGAATCGTGTGAGGGGTGTCCGGAAATGGGGTCGGTGGGCGCATGCGAACGAAGCCGTTGGGGCCTTCGGTGGGGCTCCGTATGATGCCACGAAGCGTGTAAGGGTTGTGCCAAAATGGACGCGGTGGGCGCATGCGAACGCCGCCAATAGGGCCTTAGGTGGAGTTCGCTACGGGGCCACGGAACGTGTGCGGGATGTGCCAACATGGGTGCGGTGGGCGCGTGCGAACGCAACCAATGGGGCCACTGGTGGAGTTCCTTATGGGGCCACGAAGCGTGTGCGGGATGTGCCGACATAGGTGCGGCGGGCGCATGCGAACCCAGCCATTGGGGCCTTCGGCGGAGTTCCTTGTGGAGCCACGAAACGTGTGAGGGGTGTGCCGAAATTGGTGCGGTGAGCGCATGCGAACGCAGCCGCAAGGGCCTGCGGTGGGGCTCCTTATGATGCCACGAGACATGTGAGCGGTGTGCCGAAATTGGCGCGATGGGCGCGATGGGCGCATGCGATCGCAGCCACTCGGGCTTTCAGTGGAGTTCCATACGGGGCCACGAAATGTGTAAGAGGGGTGTGCTAGAATGGGTGCGGTGGGCTCGCGCGATCGCAGCCACGGGGGCCTTTAGTGGAGCCCCCTTATGGGGCCACGAGACGTGTGAAGGGTGTGCCGAAACTGGCGTGACGCCCGCTGGCGAATTGCAGCATTGAAACCTTTTCTGGAGCTCCTAATGAGGCCACGAAGCGTGTGAGGGGTGTACCGAAACAGGCGTGACGCCCACGTGCGAACTGCAGCCCTGGGGCCTTCGGTGGAGTTCTCTACGGGGCCGCGAAACGTGTGAGGGGTGTGCCGAAACAGGCGTGACGCCCACATGCGAACTGCAGCGCCGGGCCTTTGGTGGAGTCCCCTACGGGGCCACGGAACGTGTGAGTGGGGTGCGCCGAAAAAGGGGTGTCGCCCACATGCGGGCTGCGCCATTGAGGCCTTCGGTGGAGCTCCTTGTGGGGCCCACGAAACGTGTGAGGGGTGCGCCGAAAAGGGTGTGTCGCCCACACGCGGGCTGCGCCATTGGCGCCTCAGGTGGAGCTCCCTATGGGGCCACCGAACGTGCGAGAGGCGTGCCGAAACAGAAGTGTCGCCCAAATGCGGGCTGCGCCATTGGGGCCGCAGGTGGAGCTCCCCGTGGTGCCACGAAACGTGTGAGGGGTGTACCCGAAAGGGGGTGTCGCCCACATGCGGGCTGCGCCACTAGGGCCTTAGGTGGAGCTCCCTACTGGGCCACGAAACGTGTGAGGGGTGTGCCGAAACGGGGGTGTCGCCCACATGTGGTTTGCGCCACTGTGGCCTTAGGTGGAGCTCCCTACGGGGCCGCGACGCGTGTGAGGGGTGTGTCGAAACGGGCGTGACTCCCGCATGCGAATTGCAACATTGGGGCCTTAGGCGGAGCTCCCTATGAGGCCGCGAAACGTGTGAGGGGTGTGCCGAAACGGTTTATTGTTGCGGAGAGCAAAGGCAGGGCAGGGAGGAGGGAGGATGAGGGGGAGGAGGGATGAAGGAAGGAAGGAAGGACGGACGGAAGGAAGGAAGGAGTGACGCGGGGCGATGTCTTTTCAGAACGGGGACCCAACGCCACAGGATAGTTAGGAAACATTCTCGCAACTCTGATCTCGTAGATGCCCTGCCCCATGATGGGCTGGCTATTCTCCCCTGAGACAGCCTCGGAACTGTTTGTTTCGAGATGCCCTGAGCTGAAGTGACCAGGCCACGTTCCCCTGAGACATCCTCGCAACTCTGGCATCGGAGATGCCCTGCCCCATGGTTGTCCTGCCACCTTCGCCTGAGACAGCCTCGCAGCCGTGTAGTCTAAGATGCCCTAATCTGCGGTAGCCCCGCCACTTTCGCTCCGAGACATCCTCGCAACTCTGACCTCGGATATGCCCAGTTCCGAATTGCCCTGAGCTGAGGGGTATCATCTAGGCGCTGGCCATATCCGTTTGTTCGATTGGTGCCGTCGCATGCCACGCCCCTTGATTTTGGTATGGTATTTCCGCTCGCATGCCAGCCACATCCGTTTCCCTTGTTTTCCTAGCTTCTTCCATCATTCATCTCTCATCGGTTCTTGCTCCTCCACATTTGTTTGTGTGCCCCCATCCAAGTCTTCGGCTCTGCGGCATGTGCGGGCATGTGCGTTTATGCTTTTAGAGCTTGTCCAGATTGTGCATCCGAGTGTGCATCGGACTGTATGGCATTTGCGCATCTGTGCGGCCATGCTGTTGAGGTGTTTGCAGGGTTGCATGGGCATGTGCACGCGACTGTGCGGCATGTGCGTGCATGTGCGGCCCCAGACGGAGCCCAGAACGAACGTGAGCACTACAGAAATGAGCATTCTGGAAATGAGTCCGGTGTGCCCTCCCCCCCTTCGCGGGCAGCGGTAACGATCATACGTTCGTAGTGGTGGAGCTTGGACCCCTCCCCATATGTAGGTGTCCGCGCGCGCACTTTGGCGATCGCAGGGCGCCCCCGCCCTGGCGTGCACCACCCCGACCGAGCGTTACCACTACCCTGGGCCCCAACCCTCCCCCCCCTGGGTACCGACCATTACAGGACACAGTGAAGGCATATAAATTGTTGTGCAGTTGGGGCCCGTGCTAAGAAACACCCTGCGTGCCTCCAGGTTGCCCTGGGTTGCCTTGGTCTCGATGGTATTGCGATGGGAGGCGCGACGTTCCCACACCAAAAGTCAATGGACGGTCTGGGGTCTCAGGGTTGGGTTTCCTGTGGAAGGTTTCCTGTGGACTGACCACTTTTCCGTACGCCCTGCCTGGCCCCAGGAGACAGCGGAGGCCGACCACGCACTCCTGAAGAGCGCAGTGGAGCGCCTGAGCGAGGAGCGGGCGAGTCTGCAGGCCGAGCTGGCCGAGGCACGCTCTTCGGGGGGCCAGCTCGGCGGCGAGCTGGGCGCCCGCGAGAGGGAGCTGAGGAGGGCCCACGAGGAGACCTCGCGGCTGGTGCGCGCCAAGGAGCTCGAAGAAGAGCACGTGCACACGCACAATCGGTCGGAGCTCCGCGCGGGCTTCTCGCCTCGTCACTGGTGCTTCTCCCTGGCGGCGCTTCCGGCGCCGCCCCTGGGGCGCTCCGCGCGCCGGGGAGGGGGAGTCTGCGCCGATCCAGATCATCCGCGCGGACCTCCGCAAGCTTAGATTTCGAAATCTTGTTGAGGCAGAGCGCGCTCAGAGTCAGGTTCTCAGTCCAGGGTTGATTTGTCTGGATTATCTTGGAACCATTTGTTATAACATTCCGCTCTCTGGATTGAGATTGGTAAGTGTAGCATTTGCTTGACTTCCCGAACTGTGCAGTTTTGTATAGTATTTCAGAACGGCGCTGAAATGTTGAAACACGTTATTTGTTTTCAGGCACGGTGTTTGATTCGGTTCAGTTAGTTTGTGTAGGTATCTGCTGGTTCAGTTTTTGTTCGAAGCGGTTCAGGTTGACGCCTGTTCGGCGTAGAATGCGCATGCTTACTTTCGACGGCCGTATGCATGTCGAACTTCATCTCTGAGTTAGTTAACAGCTTCTAGTAAGTGTTACCTAGTTGTCATCAGCGGGGTTATCGATACAAAAAAGTATGGGTGCCGCCCGCCCTGCGTCGTGTATGTTGTCACGTCGCTAAGTGCGGGGCCGCTGTACATCTCCAGACTCACACTACGAGTGAACGAACAACGATGTGTTCAGAATGTATGTTCTCATCTGGAGGCTTTTCTCACATGTCATGGGATCTGTTTATGCCGCGTTTCTTCCCCTGGAGGAGCGGCTCGAGCAGGAGAAGCAGGACCAGCTGTCGCAGAGGCAGGCCTCGGAGGCGGCGCAGCGGAAGCTGCAGCGCGAGCTGAAGCAGCTCAAGCTGGCACTGGCGATGCACGTCCCCGGGCCGGAGCGGGACGGGAGCCCGCGGCCCGCGTCGCAGGGCATGAACTCCTGCGTGAGCGTGGACTCCGCGGGGGGCATGGGGATGCAGAAGGCGTACTCCACGCCGCAGCTGCCGGCCAGGGCTGCGGCCCACCGCCACGGGAAGGACGTGTCCTTCGAGGGCCCGTCGGGGGGCCTCCGCAGGGCGTTCGGGCCTTCGGCCGTGGGCGGCCTGCACGCGCCGCCGAACATGTGGCCCTCGGGCCTGCAGGTGCCGCTCTGAGGCGGGCGCCTCTCCGCGACCCCACGGCGGCCGGGCCGTCTCCGCCGCCGCTGCCCTTCGCTGCCCCTCGCCCCGCGAGGGGAGGAGAGCAGCGGTGGCACGCTGCCGTCGGGAGTCCGACAGCGTCTGAATCACTCCCTCGTCTTGGTCAGGAGGCCTGCTGTCTCTTCAGCAGTAAGACGCTGATGGATTCCCCTCGACTGCGTGTCATTGATACTGTGTTCCTTCCCCCGTCCTCGGCTGCGCGTGAGGGTGACCCTTCGCCGCAGTGACCTTTCGTGCGGGCTTATAATGCCAAGATCATCTACGACGATGTGGTAGTTTGAATCTGGGCGTTTTTCCAGTCACTTCGGCATCTATAGTGACCGTTTTCGGGGTCCGAGACCGTCAAACATGGATCCGGGACGAAAGCTACCACGGGGGAAGGAATCGGGACTTCAGGGCCGCGCATTCGGAAAGAAATCGTCGGATATCGGGGGGGTGGCCCGCTTGTATTGGCCACGGCCCCGTAAGGCCGCGCACAAGAGGTCGCTCTTGAAGAGCGTCAGTCCTGCGTGCAGCCGACCACTTGGTTCAGCGTCCCCCCCCCGCTGAACAGCGGGCGCCTGGCGGGGCCTTGTCCCTCCCCGGCCTTTTGCCAGGGTTCACCGCGCTTCCGCCGCGAGGCGGGGTCTCCGGAGCAGGTGCCGCGGCGCGCGCCAAACCGACTGTGGCCTTGCGATGGACCTCACTCTCAGCAGCTTGATGTGACGTTGGTGAAGGAATCTCTCGATGCGTGATCCGCGTGAGGGATGTGCCGACATGATTGGGGGGGAGGGATGGCGAGGTCTAGTCTGAGTATGCGTTGGGCCCCACTTCGTTGGTCCCTACCGCAGACCTCGAACGTGGCGACAGTTTCGCAAATCGCAGCACACTAGGGATGGCCAGGTAGGAGGCAAGCTAGCACGCACGCAGGAGGGGGCGAGGTGAGAGGCACAAGAGAAAAGGGACAGGGAGGCGGGAGGAATGAGGATGCAACCGCAATGCCCCATTCAAAACGACCGCATGATGGTTGATGATTATTATTCGTATTCCTCTTTTCCATCTCCTTCTTTTCGTTCGTATTATCCGACCCATTATCATGTTCAGTACTCGTATGCGTTGTTTTATTGTGTTGCTTGTAGTAATGCTGGTTTTATTCAAGAGGCTTGCTTCATTCCGCCGGCCCCCAGAAGAGGCGGGGAGTCCACGGTTGAGGCGTCGTTGGTTTCTGGGGCGTGGACGAGCCTATTGGGGGCAGTCTTGAAACGTCATGGGGGCCGTTTCGGGGCCTTTTGTGGGCGTCTTGGGGGCCTCTTGCGGTCTCTTGAGTGCCTCGTTTGGGCCGCTTGGGAGCTTTTGGGCGGCCTCTTGGGACGGAAAGATCGGATGTTCGCTTCTTGTTCTCCCCCTTGGCCTCGTTTGGGGCGATTGTTGGCCGTCTTGAGCCCCTCTGTGGGGCTTTTTTGGGGCCCCTCGCGGGGGCCCTTTGGGCAGTTTTTGGGCGATCTGGCGATCTCTGGGGCCTCTAGGATTGTTAATATTATATGGGTTATTACGACCCTTGCCATTACTATTGTTATTAATGCTCCTCCTCCTACTTCTACTACTACTACTACTGCTACTACTACTACTACTACTACTACCACGACAACGACGACTACTATTACTACTGCTACTACTACTACTACTACTACTACTACTACAGCTGCCGCGACCACTACCACTACTACCACTACTACCACTACTACTACTACTACTACTACTACTACTACTACTACTACTACTACTACTACTACGACTACGACGACGACGGCTACTACTGGTGCTACTGCTGCTACTACTGCTACTACTACTACTACTACTACTACTACTACGACTACGACTACTACTACTACTAATACGATTACTACTACTACTACTACTACGACTACTACTACGACTACTACTACTACTACTACTACTGCTACTACCACTACTACTACTACTACTACCACCACCACTACTACTACTACTATTACTACTACTACTACCACTACTACTACTACTACTACTACTACTACTACTACTACTACTACTACTACTACTACTACTACTACTACTACTACTACTACTAGCACTACTACTTCTACTTCTGCTTCTACTTCTACTACTACCCAGAGGGTCTTTAGATCCACTCTCTGGATCCGATCCAGATTGGCCACCTGCAAGATGTGACTTTCAAATCTGGATCTGAAAAATGATCAATGACCCATTTGGATCTGAGGTTAGCTTGCGCACTGCAAAAAATTGATTTCAACCGTTTCGACGCATCGCGCTGGACAAAATCATAAAACGTATTATAATATTAACATATCACTAATATCTGAGTGCGTCAGGTGTGCCAAGTGAGCCACGTGCGACAAGAGCTAGTAAACTCAATTCGCCTCGGGCCCTCTGGGGAGATAACGGATTGGAGAGAGACGCTTCGTTGACGTTGTACACGCCGCGTCCACTTGAGAAACGCAGATGCTTTACTAGAGGGATGGCGTGTATGTTTGTTCTTTTAGCCACGGCTGGTCGCTGGCCGACAGACGAGCAGGGAAACCTGAGCAGGGCGACGCCGTTAGCACCCCCCCTCTCCTACTTTGGCACTCGAGGTGTTGGTCCCTTTTTGTTCGGTCGGTCCCTTCGCTCGGTTTCGGTCTGGGTCCGCGTTCCGCCCTTCGCGCCGTGTTCGGTCCTCTCTCGGGCCCGTCGTCGGTTCGCGTCCTCCTTCTTGCCCTCCTCCTCTTGTTCCTGCTTCCTTCCCCCGCAGCCACTTTGGCTCGAACCCGTGCGCGGGTCTTGGGCCTGGGCCCGCCGCTACTGCGAGTGGCGCAGCGCCATGGCGTCGCAGACGCAAATAGATGACTCGGTGCCCCGCCTCCACGGGGGGCCCGCTGTGGAGGAGGCCCATCCGATCGATGTCCCTGGTGACTCGTTGACAAGCGGGGAGGCGACGCAGCCACAGGGGCCGCGGCTGCAGCAGCCAGCGGGGAGCAGCCAGGAGCAGTGGTTGCGGCAGCTAGCGAGGAGGCGGCGCAGCCAGGAGCCGCGGCTGCAGCAGCCGAGGAGGCGCTCTGGGCCTGTGAGGGCGCCGCCGCCGTCGAGGCGGAGAGGCATGCCAAGGCGGCAGCGCCCGAGGCCGAGGAGGCCTCCGGCGACGGCGCGGAGGTCATCGCTAGCTCGCCGATGAGTCAAGCCATCGAGGCTTCGTTGAAGGGCGCGAAGAACGACCCGATGCAGCAGGCGCTGACAGCGCCCATCGAATCTGCGAGGGCCGAAGGAGTCGAGCTCGACGGTGGCCCTAATCCAGATGCGGCGCCCAGCGGAATCTACCGCGAGCAGGACTCAGAGGATGCTTTCATGACTGGCAACATGCATGCGGATGGAACCCAACAAGAGTACCCCACGCAAGAACTCCAGGAGCTTCGGGAGGAGAGGGCGGGGTTCCGTGATCGCCTCGCGCAGCTTGAGGAAGATGAGAGGCGCAGGTTGGCTGAGGAGGATGCGACCATGGCAGCCCAGCGATCGCTCATTCGAGCGCAGGCCGCCGAGGCTCGCAAGGCTCGCGAGGACCTCGCGAGAGCGCAGGCCGCCCACGCCGAGGAGACGGCAAAGGCTGAGGCCGAGCTCAAGGCAGCCCAGGAGGCGCAGGCGAAGGCCACGCGGCTACTTGAGATTAGGATGAAGGCGATCGCTGAGCAGGAGCAGCGCGTGAAGGCACAGGAGGAGGAAGCCGCGAAGGCCATGGAACGCCAGCAGCTGCAGGAGAGGAACGCCAAGGCTTTGGAGGAGAGGGCGAAGACTGCGATCACGGTTGCGGAGATCGCGCAGGAGCGCGCAGAGGCTGCAGCAGACGGCGTGGCGGAGGAGAAACAGGAGATCGAGATTGAGGCGAAGCGGAGGCGGCTGGAGGCCCTTGATCTCTCCTCGGCGCAGGCTGGCCTCGAAATGAAGAGGGCCGAGATCATGAGGTTGGAGGCCCAGCAGCAGAAGATCGGCCAGGCCATTTCCCGCGCTTCTGCTGGTGTTGCTGATGCTGCTGGCGGCAGCCAGGACGCCAGCGGGGGAAGAGGGGGTGGAAGAGGAGGAGGAAGAGTAGGAGGAGGAACGGGAGGAGGAGGAGGAGGAGAAAGAACGGGAGGATGAGTAGGAGGATGAGAGATGAGGAGGAGAAGCATCAATATGAGCACGTTCCCCAAAGGACACCATGTTGCAGACGCCTCCGAAGAACACTCGCAGCAGCGCCATGAGCATGGCGCCGCTGATGATGTCGTTCGAGGCCGGATTTTCTTTTTATTGTTGCCTCTGCGCTCCTCCGTGTCACGAGGATTCCTCCTCCTCCTCTTCCTCCCCCTCATCATCCTACTCCTCCTACTCCTCCTCTTCCCGAGCCTGCTCTTCGTTATCCTCGCTCGCTCCTCATCACCCCCCCCCCCCCCCCCACAACGCACACACACACGCCACACACGCCAACCACCACCACCACCACCCCACCACCCACCCGCCCACCCGCCCAACCCCCCGCCCCGCCCCGCCCCACCCCGCCCCACCTCCTCAAAGCACTCCCCCTCCTTGTCCAACCTCGCTGCCTCTTGATTGTTATTATCACCCTCCCCGTGCTCATCCATGAGCCTTCGAATGATTTGAATGATTTCCGCCAGCCCACTCTCAGTTGGCATTTTGGCTCGTGGCTCAGATGGCGGGCATAGAGGATCGTTTAGCAGCAGCATGGGCATGCCACATCACGTCGCCAGGACAGGTCGAGTATTCGACCGAGAACGTCCACGATGCTGCCATTGACAGGGGCTCCCTGTTGACGCACACCGACGTGATCATTGCCACCAGGCTGTTCGCCAAGCAGGTGCGTCTCAAGACTGCCAAGGCAATCTCATCCTGTGATCTCGAACCCCCCTCGCAAGACATTCCCCCGGTGAGACTGCCGCTCCCCGCCCACCCATCCCCCGCCATCAAACACGAAGTGCCCTTAGGCGGCGTTCCTCAAGGTCGCGCAGCGCAACGAAGAGAAGCGGCACTTGTCCACGAGGGCGAAAGGGTGGGCCCAGGGCCAGGCTAAGCAGATGAGGAACCTTCTGAGGCACGCGCCCCAGGCACTCTGCAAGACCCCATGGGGCACCACATATTCTACCCGCACCGCGATTTCGACGCCACTTGTCGGATTCGGCTCGAAATTGAAGGAATCGTTTTCGCTCGAGGCCGACCGATGCTTTTGAAATCCCGAGGAAGAAAGGAAGAATGCGCGGGCAAAGACGTTTGCGCTGGGCGAGGAAGATGTCCCTGAAGATGAGGACGATGGGGAGGAGGGGGGCGGCGAAGACGCACCAGAGCAGGACGCGGGCTGGCACAGCCAAGATAGATAATCCATCCCTCAACAGTCTATCCTCCCTCCTGTAACCTTGCTCTCCCGCCCCCCCCCCCCCCCCACCTCGACGTCGCTCAATGTAGTTGCTGTCGCGGCAGACCCCCCCCCCCCCCCCCCCCCCCCCCCCCCCCCCCCCCCCCCCCCCAACACCCACCCACCCACGCGCACACACACACCGCCACCCCCTAGGAGATGAAGAGGCCTGCGGCGGCCTCGAGTTCTGGTAAGTTAGAGGTGCTGCAGAAAAAGGATGGATGGAACCTTGGCTAGTCAGGGCCCATGCAGGCTCACCTGGGACAACCTGAAATCACAC